CGGGGCCCGGGGCGCGGCGTGGGCCCCGAGAACTGGCTGTGAGTGGTGACACCTGCGTGCCTGCTTGGCAGGCAGCTGCTCCTGCAACTTTGAATTCTCTTCTTCTTTGTTCAGTACAGACAACCATGAGTGATCGAAAGGCAGTGATCAAGAATGCGGACATGTCAGAAGAGATGCAGCAAGATGCTGTGGAGTGTGCTACTCAGGCCTTAGAGAAGTACAACATTGAGAAGGACATTGCTGCTCACATAAAGAAGGTAAATGTTTGTAGTGTCCTCATGAAATCTCTATGCACATGAAAAATCAAGCAGGGAGAATGCTGCCAGGCAAGTAGCTCTAGAGAAACAAGTTTCTAGAGACACTAGATAATCAAGCTGGACTTTCTGGGTAGGCTGGTGTCCTTATTATGTTCCTTCCCCCACCCTTTACGTGGACTTTTCCAGGTCTTTCTGCTTTTGTCCTGCAGTGCCTTCTACTTGTGCCTTTTCTGCCCCTGTCCCATTGTCCAGGTGAACAGAGTGTGGCAGCTGACTGTCCCTGTGACAGATGAGCTGGTACAAAACACAGGGCCTCTATTGAGCTCTTCTCTGATTTTCCTCTGGGAGAAAACCTGTTTAACATAGTCCTTGGTTTCAGTTTTCTTGAACTTAATCTTAAGGATCTATTCACAGTTCTGTCCAGCTGGGTGAAAAATTGCAGGGTAAAGTAAGTTTTCTGCAAGTCTACTGTAATCACACATTTGATGTAAGGAAAAGAGAAAAAACTCACAAAAAAAACTCTGGTGGCACTGATTATCTGTTGTTCACAATGTCTGTGTCATTCTTTATGTAGGATTAACAATACTGAACATGGGGAAAGATCTAGTTCTGATTATATTTCCTGCTTTGTCAACTCAGGAGAATGGAGAAATCGGAATGTCAGTGGAAGTTAAACTAATCTGAGTGGAAGAGCTGTTTAAAAAGTAATTCAGCTAAGCTAAATGATCGCTTCCACTAGAGAAATACTGGTTTGATATGCCCACAATTCAGAAAGGCTTTTTTTTTTTTTCCCCAGATGCAGGAAGTAGCCATGACAGTGGAAAAGAAAGAGTTTAGTCCAATATTTTTCAGGTATTCTTTGTAGCAACTGCTAGGAATTTGTAGAGGATTTGTTGGGATTGTGTAAACAACAAATTCCTAGGCTTGTTGAAAGTACTGGTGTTACAGAGCGTGTGGCAGAGAACTTTTCAGTGAGTCCCTTTAGCACCTGTGCTGCAAATGAATAATGAAGTCTAAATTGTGGCTTAACCTCCATGGGTATAAAACTAGTGGTAAAGCTTTTCTTGAATGGCTGTAGTTTCAGATCGTGGTATGGATTATGGGGGGAGAAACATTACTTTTGTTCAGGGAAAGTAGTCTATTAAATTTACTACTGCTCAGATGGGAAGCACTGTGGTTGGGTTTTTTTTTGTCTGACTAAGCAGCAGGTGAACAATAAGATGTAAGTAAGATAATCCTTGTAGTTAAGAGCATCTGCTCTTCCTCTTAATTGCCTTGCTCAGAAATTGAGCACCTGTTTAGAGGAGTTGTTAATTTCTAGTGATCTGTTTTGCAGGAATTTGACAAGAAATACAATCCCACTTGGCACTGCATCGTGGGGAGGAACTTTGGCAGCTATGTGACTCATGAGACCAAGCACTTCATCTACTTCTACCTCGGCCAAGTCGCTATTCTTCTCTTCAAGTCTGGTTAGAACCATGGACTGTTAACTGAACCTTGTACTGGGTTACAGGACTGTGCTGACTCCTCTGACTAGTTACTACAGCCTTCCTGAGGACGCAGGCCTTGATCTTCAAGGGCGATGGCAGGGATTATGCTATAGCAGATGATACTACATTGTGGATATAAAAAGGAAAAATACAAAAAAAAGTCTTCCTTGTATTTAATTTTTTTTTTTCAGAAGGCTACTTCTTTGCTAGTAGAGCTGTTGGAGCAGTTTTGCCTTTGAGAGTTTTATAGCCATCTACATTATTGCTCAATTACTGCTTGTGCTACGTAAGTACTGACAGTGTTTTTAGTTCTTTCTGTTCCAAACCTCTCCTACTCTTCCAGTGCGGTGGTTTTGGACAATTTTCCCCCTGTTGTTTTGCTGGGTGTCCTGCCCCAAAGCCCGAGCTGTTTCCCTTTCTGCTGATGCCTCTGGGCGAACCGCTTTGGAGAATAAAGGACGAGACCTAGCCCCGCTGCCGGGTCGTTCTTCCTGACCGCTTCGTGCCGCCCGGGCGGTG